TCAGCAATAAAGCTGCATTTTGAGTTTATCCCTTGAGTCCGTGAGTTTTTGCGATTGGGTCCTCATCCTGCCTGCCACACAGCCGTATCATGACAGGTTTGAGCGCAGAGTCAAGGAGGCCACTTACGTGAAAAGGGAAAGACCATCTCTGAATCAAGGAGGGGGCCTAAGGGGACATCTTTCACATCTTACAATGCTATGATTGCAGCCATTCCCCCACTTTCTGTGAATGGCCATTGATCAGTGGTCTTTGATCTATGGTCATGAGAATTTGCATATTAATTATCAACGAACTGACCTCCCAGCCCATTGTCCCTTCAGTGGTGTTAGTGTCAGTCATTATGGAAATGTACTGTTTTTAAGTTTGGGGAAGCCTGGGTGATTCAGCTGCATCGAGACGTTTTCCAAAGCAAACTCAGCAGAATCATTGTTGCATTGTCTGCATAGGAAAATAAAAAAGTAGTGTTTGTTTTTCAGGAATATAACAACAGAGCAAAAAATCTTTAATTGGCTGATGTTTGTGCAGTATTTGTGTTAAAAATAAATAATCTGTCATGCTCGTTTATACTGCCCACACAGAGACAAACAGGACAACTCAGAAGTTTCCAATTCTCTGCCTGCCCAGCAACATCAAACTGAAGTGAACTCCATATTTAAGGTCTGTAAACACACAGCAACTAAAAAAAACAAAAACACACCTTTCCCTTAATTTATCTCTCTGTGGTCTTTAGACCATTGGATTATGTGTCTGCCTTGCAAAATTCAGCTTTTCTGTTATTTTTGCACTTCTCTTTTTACACTCATTTATTACAGCTGCTGGAGGACAAAATAACTACTTTTGTGAAGAACGAGCTAAAGAAGGCACAGAATGAACTCAATTCAGATTACACCCAATCATCAGAGAGTCAGACACATGATGAGGATGTGTTGGGCAGTGAGGATGAGGAGCAGAGGAGAAGCAGTAGAGAAAATGAAACAGGAACAGCTGGCTGCTCGTCTGCTGAGCAGTAAGAGAATTTCTTCCCCCTATCTCCTCCCCACTCGTCCACAGACACAGGTAAACTGTAAGATAAGACCAGGTCTAGTGTGTGTCTGTGATCATGAGCAGGGTCAGACACTGATTGAACCAGGTTAAAAGAGTCAATAAGGTTTAAAAACTCCTTCGCCAAGGGTTTGTCAGGACAGCAGACATAACTGTTAAAATCTCCCACAATGAGAACGTAATCATAGTTGGGCATAACCCCAGCTAGAAATTCTGAAAAGTCATTTATGATATCCTTATTATATTCAGGGGGATGATAAATAAGAGCAAAGAGCACTGAGTTTGAGCAAATGACTTCAAAACGTCAGCTCAAAGCTGAACGCTAAAGGCTGTAAAAATCATTGTTTACATAGCCCATTAGGCCAATAACGGAACACTAGTTTGAGAAAATGTCCATCCCAATCAAATCAGATAACTATTACACTTACTTTAGGAATCTTCACCTTGGAGAAATCACATTCAATTTCCCTGCAACCAGTTTTGGAAACCAGTAATGGAGCTGCCATACCTTCAACGTTGACTGCCACCCCCCCCAAAAAACTGCTGTTTGTCACAGTTCTGGGTCTTTGTGACCCAGCATTTTCAGTTCATGTATTTTATATTATGGTTTATGTTCTACATCCTTTGTTGTACTGTTTTGATTATTGTCATTCCCCTAGGTTTCAGTTAGGGTTGTCAAGGGTTTAGTTCTTAGATTTTATGTGATGGCTATGTTCTGTGTTGCGTCCGCTGAGCCTTTTTGTCCCATGTTTCAGGTCCCACTATTCTGTCTCCCCACTCTGTTAAGTTTAAATGTCTTGAGTTCAGTCAGTGTGTTTCCTCTTTTACTTTGAAGGTCCGTGTCCCATGTCAGTTTTTCTAGTTTTGCTTCCCTTGTCTCGTCCAGTCTAATTACTCCCAGCTGTGCTCTCCTTCTGTGTCTCATGTCCCTCGTTATCCCTCAGTTTATTTAAGCCCTGTGTTTCTGTGTTA